GTACTTAAAAGTATTTGCAGCAGGGGTTGGCTAAGCAGCTGAACTGCCTGAGCTAGATTTCAGTGTCTTTGCAGCCACAGATAGCTCTGATCATCTATACCAACTTCCTTACAAACATACTGGGGTACCTTTCCTCAAAGCTCTGTTAAAGCACAGCTTTCACAAAAATACTAATTTTACCCTGACAAACCCCAAACAATGACAGATCTGCTTTTTTTCCATCAACTGTTTCAGGCATCATCAATCTCACTACCTTTAATTTCAAGATCTGTTCAGGCTCAGGTTCTGAGAATCATGGTTTATTGCAGCACTGCCTACACAACTGGAAAGCTCTTATGCTGCTCGTATACCCATGGTTAGTGATGAAGACTCTTCTTAACTTCTTCATATGGTTCTCACATACCATAAAGAAACATATTTTCTCCATTTGTTGATCAGATCTTAGAATAAATCCACAGTACTGCAGGTCAATAATAGTAAGAACACTATTTTGGGTTTTGTTCTCCTTCCCCTCTTCCACCTGACACCTACATGATGGGGATTTTTCCAAAAATAGTGTCTGTCTGAGGACCTACCGCACAGTGCTGCAGCAAAGCACACCCTAAGGAAAGCTTTACCTCTGAGCACTTTCTGGTAACTTGCCAGCCAGTGACAGGTTCATCAATAATGATAATGGCTTTCTGTCAAAGAAAACTAGTACACTAAGCCACAGACACGCTCAGCCCTACAAAGGAATCAAAGTAACCGGTGTCCTCGTAAGGAAAGTGAGACAGGAACATGACTTCTAATGGGAAGAGCAGGCTAATAAATGAAATAGAAGGATTAGGCTCCCTTTGCTGAAAAGCAGAAGCAGGTTTTCCATCAGTAAAGTCTGTCACCTCTGTATCAACTGAGATTCAAGCATCATCTTCAGTATACCTCACCAAAAAATTCTTTTGACTGCAGGCTACAACACAGCAGTTTGAATCTCATTTGTGATAAATGGAACATATGGCAGCTGCCTCTGCAAATACTATTGTCAATAATGAAAATTTGTATTAAGGTTGCACCCAAAACCCTATTACTGGATAGGTTTCACATGCTTAAAGCCAGTGGCACCTTTGCTAAAGATTGCTGCAAGGAGCAGGCAATCCTACAGGAATAAAAATGTATACTCAAGGATTTAAGGTTACTGTACACATAGGTTTCCTACTTTTCTGCATGGAAGTCAAGAGAGGCAGATCTGGGGGACTTTCCGTATTCAGGACATATTCACGGTTCCGACTATCCCCTCAGTCATCAAACTGGTCATAAATCAACCAGAAAGTTCTGCCAAGCCCCTTGGAAAGAGGGGAGGCTCACTGTTTATATTTCCTATACATTTCACCCATGTCCACACAGGAAGCCTAGCACATCTCAAACATAGCTGCATGAGCCATCTTCACCAGCAGCTCTCGTACACAGCATCTGAGGATATCTTTCTGCCTGGGAAACAACACAGAGGGACCGAGTAGCTCCAGTTTAAAGGAACTGGGTAAAAGTGCTTTGATGTGAAACGCATGTGCTTGTGACAGACACAAGAGACAGACAGAGGAAGAGATGTAGGAAAATGGAGAGACAGACATGCTGAGAGGTGAACAGAGGGACAGAGAGAGAAATCAAGTGGTACAGCAAAAGAGACATAGCAAGGCGGAGAGAAACAGAGAGAAAAACAAAGGAAGAAAAGGACAGAGGGCAGAGTGGGGGGAGCACAAAGAGAGGGGTCTTTGTGACCTGTGACATGAAGGGGTCAGACAGGTTGGACATGGGGAGAGAAAGGGATTTGCAGGGATGCAGGAGTGGAGGACAGAGGCAAGACAGACAGCAGGACAGACAAGAGAGTCAAAGAGGGCATGAGAAACTGGGAGAAAGCAGAGGAAGGAAAGGTGAAATGCATACACAGAGAAGTGAAGTGTGGCACAGAGAAAGTGACTGGTGCCATTGCCACAAAATTGGAGGTGAACTTCTTGTTGGCCAGCAGAAACAGGTGAGGTGCAAACAGCAATGCAACTGGCTCTGGCTGCTCATGTACTCCTGGTTCTGACAAGAAACTAGTACTTCTTTTAAAAATAAATGTAATGTCATCAACATACATGACTCCATTACACATCACCTTGTCCTAAAAGGAAAAATTATACCTAATTATAGACCTAACCACGTGCTTAGTTGCTAAGATCTAAAGAAATAAGATACCTAATCTGGACTGGAGATCTGTTTGTATTAGAACAGCTAAGATGTTGGATTTATGCCACTACATTAACACAGGTGTAAGACAATCACTACATTCAAGCCTGTGATCGAAAAAAACGTAACAAGTTTGGCTGTACAATGAATACTTGGAAGAAAGATCAACACAGTGGTTCTTTTTAGCAACAACTTAAAATTATGATATTCAGACGTTTCAAGGTAGAGGTAAAGCAGAAGCACAGAAGAGATGGGGCAGTGAGTAAGGGTGAACTCTATGAAATGAAGAGCTGGAATGGTCATTGTACATCACCTGCTGGATCCTGAACATTACCACCACAGCAAGTGTGAGATAGTTTTGCTCTATACACAACAACAACATGGGTACAACCAAGGTTTGGTGCTAAACTGGTGACACTTGCATATGGAGCCACTACCTCTGATTAAAATGCATTAAAGATGCACCTAAATCCCACACAGTCAGCAGGCTAACGGTGCCCGCAATGGCTTCTGTCAATTCCCATGGTTTGTCTTATTTATAATTATAAGTCCATTGTGCCTCTGCATTACATTTAGGAATACACAAGCTACTACTCCAAACAAAAGCTGTATGGAGCTATTTCAAGAGAGCTAGAGTATCCACCAGACATGTAAGAAGTGGAAACTACAAATAAGGGATACTGCAATTACCAAACCCCAAGCACAGAAAACGCATGAAATTTCAGGATTATATTTAAATATAACTTTAATATGCTAATTTTGTTAATTCATCCCTGATGAAATACTAGAAAAAGTAGGTAGAAATACATGGAAAAACCCACCAGGTGTTTCACAAATCAATCTATTTAATCTGGGACTACAAATGCTAAAGCACTGTAATCCCAGTCAGATGGGTCTGCAACCATTTCTTCAGTGCTACTGATGGAGAAGAGCACAGAATTTTAGCCTTTACTCATTAGAATTATAACCAAATGAACGCTACCTGAAGAATTGCAGTGCATTAAAACTAACCATTATTAACTTTTAATATGTAGGACAGAGTTAAAATTGGTGATATCAGAATATTGTGACAACACAGACAGCTTGGAACAACTCTGGTACTCATTTTCTTCAAATTAACCAACCAGACCAAAATTAAAAAGGGTAAACTCTTTAATTCCCAGTGTACTGAAAGCACTACAATTTGATACACAGATACATCAGAACCATGCCTCCAGGGAAGCATCCTTCACTTTAGAGATGGGACAGCAAGACTGACCATAAAGCCACTTGTCAAAGCACACAGCAGGTAATTTTAAGAGTGGACAGAGATACCCTGGGAGTTTTATGGCTGAATAAGTGAGCCGAGATGGACTTAGCTGAGCTTACAGCAGGAGCCACAGCCTTAAGCAAACTTCTCTCCCACATGCTCTGCTTTTCCTCCATACTATTCCTTTTATCTTCTCTCCCTCCCACCACAACAGTATCTCTAATTTGCTCATGACTCCTGACTGTCACAGCCTTCAGCCTCACTGATGCACAGGACCTATGCATTCTCTCCTCTTCCTGGAGCATGAACTGACCTTCACAACATTTCTCATATGAAGACTCTGTTTCCTCTTTGTGGAGCCTCAGGAGCTAAATGGACAACTACAGGTAAGCGTGCTGAGCAATCTTCCCTTTTTTTCATTAATTGAAGAGGACTATTTTGGAGTGTTGCTTACTCCAAAGCCAAGACCAGTGCAACTCTTGCTTCATGCAGTCTCCTATACTAAAAGGCCTCCCTTGTTCTGCAATACTTCCAGTTCTCCGAAAGCAGCCATAGGGTGAAGGAAGAAATAGCCCTAGCTCTCCTATTCTGCTCTGCAGTTCTTTGGTAACCTGAGGGAGCCCAGATCTGGTTACTCTGAAACAGCACCCGACCTTGAGAAAATCATTCCAGCTTTCATTGTCAGCAGAGCAGAGAGAGACACTGGTGCTATCATGAGCTGCATAGCTCAGACATGGGTTATCTGCTATGAATATTTCAGTACCTTATTTTCCCTGGCTGTAAAAGAATTGTAAACTAATAACCCATTTCATACAGGCATCTAAAAACTTACCGCACTCATGTTTGCAAATGCTCTAAGACCTTCCTGGAAATTGCCTAAGGAAAAGCAAAGTATCCGTATTTTTAATAAGTCTGACTGGTGCACCTAGCTGTCATTTTTGTGCCTGATTAGCGGCAATAGGCAGTTTTCCATTTATTTCCAAGCAGCTGCTGGAGAAGAGCTGCAGGCAGATGTTATCTGGCGACTGCAGAACTCTGCTCGCTGTCAATTTCACACCAGCATTTTACTTTCCTCTATCCCTATTTATTATTAATCTTTATTTATATCTAACTCCAGCTCTTAGTTAGCCTTTGCCAGAGGCTTAACCATTAGAGGTAACTGTGAAGAAAGAGGGGAAAGAAGAAACTGGCATAAATCAGGCTTTTACCACTCCATATATTTATGAGGAGGTGAGAAACCATGCAAAGCTTGGGCTATTTAGGAAGACAACAGCTTGCAGAGTAGATGAGACCAGGTCAAGTCTCCTTTGCCCTTAGTACTAAACATGAAAAGGAAACATCCCTATCACAGAACTTTCCTTCTAATCATGCTCAGTTGCTACATTTTACAGGGCTTTACATCCCTTTTAAATTTCTACCCATTCTAATTCAGAGGATGTTCTTACATTTCACGTTTTCTGAATCCGATAAGCTCTCCGGCTCAGTAAGACCATGTCACATTTGTTCCAAATAATCACCATATAAAAACATACTTTTTCCATCAGCTTTCAATGCATTGCCTCTTAATTTAAGAACAAGACCACACTCAATTATGAAAATATAAACAGGATTACCTGATTCACTTTGGAGAGGACAAAGTAAACAATTTTTATTTAAGCAGCAGAATACCACTTGTTTTCTACTCACTTTCTTTTTAAGGCTTCAAATCTTTATTCATCTCTTGTCTATTTCTTTTATCCCTTTTGAATAGGGCTGAACAGTGTGTTCCAGGTGAGTCAACACCATTCACTTAATGAAGGCATTGCTATTATTTTCCAGATCATTCCTTACCCATCCTTACATTTTGGTCACTTGTTTTGTTCACTTTGCTGTAAATGAGAAGCCCACTCAGTGTCATCTTTCCTTTAGAGGTAAGATGAATGTAAGTTATTGCAAAGACTGTAAACAAGTTTTCCAAAATGGAGGCAAAGATGTCACACATACAGGCTGTGTATGATAACGTTTCCCACAGCAGTGTGAGAGGCATTCAATTTATTGCACGCTTTCCCCAAATGTTCCCATATATCCAGACAGCCTGCAATCATAAGAAACATTCTAGGCTTCAGATTAGATTTTTGGAAATTCTTCCGAAGTCTTTTCCAGCAAAAGTAGCTTCAGCAGTCTACCTGGCCATTTTATTCTGTTTGACATAAGCATTATTGTCTTTAAGCATCCAGTCAGAATGGGAATGTCATTAGGAACTCGTAGTACTCATCTTCCACTTCTTCAGTATTCAATCATAATGAAGGCTCTTCAGCGTTCCTCCTCCAAACCTTTTTCTTTCAGAGAAGCCAGGAATCTAAAGACAGGGAAGATAAGGCGTCAGAATCAGCTTGAGCTGCCTCTAGCCCACATCTGAGCACCTGTTACCAAGCCAACTGCAACAACACCTTCCTCTTCCAGAATCGGGAATAAAAGGCTTCAGCTTAGTGTAGAGCAGCACCATCAATTAAACAAGATGCAAAACTTGAGAACAGCTCATTTGTTCTGTGGAGCTCCTTAAGGCTTTTTAGCGAGGGTTTCAACAAAAGCCTTAATTTCTTGGGCAAATCCTAAACAGTTACTTAGATATTTCAATGTCCATGCTTTTCCCCAGATCCAAAACATACAAGAATTTCTACTCTATTCATTTTTAATACTATAAAACAGTATTACCAAGTTCTATTAAACAGCTGTTGAGACTTTATGCCTTCTAACCTGAGACAGCAGCACTTCACTGGTAGTGGAAAGTACAGTTTTATCAATTGCTGAAAGTTTTAAGAAAATTATCAGAATAGAAATGTCTGCAACAACGCCAAGGATTAGCACTCTGCTTTTGCAGCCAATCTGTAGACACTGCTTACACTGCAACAATGAGTGCTTACAAAGAAAATCTACTTGAAACCATCAGAAGCTTCTCTGGCTTAAGGGTATTTCAAACAGATTTGTAATCCAATGCATCTGTGAATCCCCCAGAAGAAAGATGCACTGCTTTCTAATACTGTATAAGATGTCTGTCCTATTGGTGGCATCATGGAACTATTTATTACCATCCAGAATAACTTTTAGATATCCAACTACATATAAGCAGAAAGAGCAGACCCAGTAAACACATCCTCCCAGAACACTTCCACACTCTCACAGGAAATGCAGTATATTAAAATGGAAAGTGTCAACCAAGCACTACAAATCGCACTATGAAAACATGGGCATATATGGATGGTATAGGACAAAATTTTACAACACAGAGTAGATTGCTTAGGTTACACGCTTCATTGGTAAACCGAAAAAGCTGAAGAGCTTACCCAAAATAAAAGTCCACTAAAAAAAACAATTTAAATTTAATTAGGGTTTTCAGGCCCAAAACTCAAATATATATGCAAAGTATTGATTCAGGAATCGTTTTGTTCATCTCTGAAAAGCAATCATCTCTAAGGGAAAAATCAGGCAGATTTCGCACAAAGGTTCATCAAAACTGCTTTGGGAATTCGAAAAGGATAAATGCAATCATTTTAACCAAAAAGTAGCAGGACACCATAGCTAAAAACTTATCTGCTTTAGCGTATTATTATATCAAAGGCACTAATTAAGAGTAACAATTATTTATTTATCAGAGATCTGATCGAAGTCATAGCTACAAACAATTTGAAACTTATCATTCGTTTCATCCTGAATAAGTTTCTAACAGAAATACCTCAAAATACGAGTGATCGAAGAGACCTATTGTAGAAAACCCACAAACACATCTGTAAGATTTATATTAAGTAGATCATTTCAAATAATAACATTAAGAGGTTATAATGAAATCTCCAGCTCAAATTTGGATTTTGTCTCTTTAAATAGAACTGTCCACTGTTTAAGTTGATTCGTTTTAAGCTTTTGAGTTGTTTTCAGCAAGGCAGATGAAAATAGTCATCAGATGGCTGTAATCTTTGTCAAGCAGCTATAAGGAATATAAAGTTAATCCCTGGCTAGCCACTAAAAATGACTCAATAAGAAAAATAAAAACCTTATGTCGTGCATCAAAGACCAGTAGCACACAAGCAGATTTCTGCATTGAGCTATTATTCCCATGAAAGGGAGACTTCCTTTCACTAGAAAGTAGGGAAGAGGGGAAAGGGAAGGAAAATAGGCATCATGCAGAACTAAGACAGGAAAAAGCAAATTTATATTCAAAGGGCGTTAAAAAAAATGCTCAAAGAAAGTAAGCATTTTGTAATTGGTGACTATTTTTTTTCCTCACTCTCCCCAAGGGGTTTTCAGCACAGCTACATCTAACGATACACTGGATTGTATTGTATTTCGGTGGTGCTATCCACAGTAATTTGCAAGCACCTCACAGACATGATAAGTGGAACCTCGCTGCATGGTAGACTGCGTGTGGGAAGGTGGGGGGCACAAGAATTTGAAGTGTTCTGCTGAAACCAGGAAAGTAATTTTGCTACCTCTTCATCAACTGTACTGAAAACAGCTAATTCAGCCGTTTAGGAATGAAGTACAAGCTGGTAGCATATTGCCATTTAACTTGTGGCTCTACTGGTTCTGTGAAAACTACCTGTACAAAACATAAAAAACTAATCCCAGCTGTGCAAAAAGAGCCTTTTCTTTGACCTTCAGGACAGCATCTCTGGCCTAAATTTGCAACCAAACAACCTGAAGCTGACAGATCTGAAAGAGATCATATTTGCCCATTTTACCTCACTCTTCCAACTTTTACTATGTAGAATACTTAATTACTTCACTGTCAATCACATTACAAATACTTCAGCTGACAAAAGTCAGCCATTTACTGTTTATCCAAAACAGCTGTGTTCACACAGATATAAAAACTCAATTACCAGCATAGATTATCACTTAAGTCACATGAAGCCCATGTTTTATAAAGGACTCCGTCAGCAGTCCACATTACACAGGGAGAAACAACAAAAAAGGAGGAAAAATTACAAACCTGATTGCCATCTCTTAACAAGTATCTCTTCTCTATGACCTGGGAAAAACAGAGAATGATCTTAGCTGGCACAGGATAAGCATAACCTCAGATTCCAATCAACACTTCACGCATGAGCACTGAAATTCACAGCTAACTGGGACAAGGTCTGAACCCGCGTCCCCTGCTCCAGGCCTACTGCTTGAAGTGCAAAGCTCTGTTACACATAGGAGTTTCCACCTGCAGCCATTCTTAGCAAAGCTGTGTTATCCTCAAGTTCTACACACCTAATTTAGTTAGACCTCTTTAGTAATGGAGGGGATGGTTTACGTTGTCTTCTTACTGCATCAGCATCAGTTATTCCCACCCGTCTCTGCAGGTGCAGCAGTTCTGAGCATTAGAAAAAGCTCCATGTGTAGGTGCATAACTCCAGTGGTTCCGAGTAGCCCCTGGGCACAGGTGATGCTTGAGAAGAGTTCAATACACAGAACAATAGAACACAATTTAATTGATTTCACTTACTTTATCAAAAAACCTGCTTAGCTTTACAGCATTGGATGAACCTGCAGCCAGGTAACGAGGATTGGTGCAATCCTAGAACACACAAAAGACAACAACAAACCAAGCACAAGGAGATCAGTGCAAGGATGCCATACACCTAGAAGTCAACATACGTTTCCCCTGACACATGCAATAAGCCAGGGAAAACACTGTAGAGCTGCTGATTTCTGCTCCACAGTCGTTTGAGAGAAAAGGCCAACTTCTGTGAATCAGCCAGAGAATTCTAAGTGCACTGCTACATGCTCCGTGTCTTCCTTCTGCCACCAGCTAAACAGTCAGCTAATTATTGTACAGGCTACACATGAGATTGTGCAAGTGTGCGTATGCATGTGCATGTATATACAAGCATTCACTCAGCACATGTATATTTTTATACAAATATATAAACACTACATATACATAAATATTAATAAAGTGAACTTGGTGCTTCATTCAAAGATAGGCTGTGTCAGAACTAAGGACAGAGAAGAGAAAACTTAACTCCCAACCATAAATTTTCTAAGCTTCAGTGACTTTATCTAACACCCGCTATACCTCCCTACAGTGAAACAAAGATGACTGTTTCGTCAAGCAAGGGGGGCAGCCAATCAAAATGTGCATTACTCCAGCATTACTGAGAAAACCTCTAGAAAGCCCAATCTTCATAACAACATCTTTACTTCCTAAAAATCGGAATCACTCCCATGTAAAAGAAAACCAACACTGGTGACAAAGATACTAACCAAATTTATCTCTTCAGCATTGAAATCCTCAGCCAAGAAAGCTGTTCTGGTCAAAACTTCATTCCGCTTAGTTTCTGGGATCTGATCCAGCTTAGTTCCTATTACCAGCAGTGGAATCTGGTTATCAGCAAACTGCTCACGGTCATAGTCACTGATGAGGGAAGCAAATACAATTCTGAATGAAGCAATGGTCATTTAAATGGGCATGGGGGCACCATCAGCTCCCCTGTCCCTTTCAAATAATGGTAATTTATTTCTTAGGAGCGATTATTTATCTAAGTGAGAATGTGCTGTATCTGCAAATTAAGGTAGGGCACAGGCATCTAAGTCACTACACAGGGATTGAAAGGAAAGAGAAAAGAAACCATGAGTTGAATGTCTTCCTGGCATAGAAGTACTGCAGAAGAAATGCTAACACAAGCAGGAAAGAAAGAGGAATTCTAGTATTGTACCAAGTGTGTGCATCCACCAGAGACAGATCAGGGAGCTGGCATCTCTGAACACTGAAAGTTCCTACATACAAACACTGTTTGAGGAGTGAAATGAAAGAAATTGCAACTGTGACACACTACCTTCTTCGACCTTAGATCAAAGAGAGCTGCAGTACAAATTCTGTGGTGTCAAGTGACTAATTCTACACCCAAGTAAAGGTAGCTACCATAAGCTGAATTCCAACAAGCTTTTATTCAGACATAAATAATGATCAAAGATAGCCTTTATAAAAGAAATAAAAATTCAATTAAATGTCATCACAAATCCAAGCTTCAATCATTCTCCTCAGCCAGGATAATCACTTGTCTTTCATTTTTACATAAACCAAGCTTTCTAGAAATTAATTTTACAACCAACAGCAACAACTTGACCAAGCGCTTATTAGTGACTGAGTATCTGTCCCTGACAGAAATCAAGCTTTTGAAAATTAAAACAATTGTGAATAACCTGTATGTGGAAAAACTAGAGAAATTTGCATTCTGTGCAGTGCAAACCCACCTTCCCTTCTCCCATGTTTCTACACAGGCAGAGGCAGATAACCAATTGGTATTTTTCCCACAAAAAACTAGTCCTTATTACTGCTTCCCTGCTCATGTGTGAGGTTTAGCAAAGATCTTAAAACCTCCTTGACTACATGTGTAACAGGACCACGGAGGTACAGGAGGAAATACTTGACAAGAGATGTTGGAAAGCTAACTATGAACATGCTGTTTAAGCAGTGTTTTCTAAGCTCTTTTTCAGCCACACTCTTGAAACAAATCCCTCATCACCCAAACAAAAAAATAATTAAGTCAACTTCCTCAGTTTTAGTGTATGGAGGGAAAGCCTTTCGGAACCAAGACACGCCATCCCATGACATTTTCTGTACAAGGGCTTTGCACATCTCAGTACAGGCATACAAGTCTTCAGGAAGCAGGGGCTGGACCCACTCTCACAGAGGCCTCAGACAAATAATGAATGCAGTAAACATATTTTTCCTTAAAGCAAGGTCTCTGCCATACAGTTTGGAAATCCACTGGCAGAATGGCCTGACTGGCAGTAAAAACCAAAAATCACAGCAATTTTCTTTGATACGTCTCTGTTTTTTTCTTCAAAGTTTAGCCACATCTCATTTTATGTAGACTCCAAGTAGCCTTGGGGATGAACAAAGAATTCCATAACAGCTTGGAATTATTGTGTCTTAACCCTTCATGTATGTTTTTCACTCACCCATTTGTCACAAGAACTCCTGTTGGAGCGACATCTCTGTTGAGTGCTTCCAAAGACCAGCGATACAAATTCTGGGATGATTTCTTGTTGGTTAAGTCATGCACTAAAATTATACCTAAAGTGACAGAGAAGGCAACAAGATGCTATTTAATGATTTTTTTTTTCCCCTTATCTTACCAAAATGACATCTGCAGGTCCCCAGATACTGGAGAATGAAGAAAGGGAAATATAACCAGTTCAGTTACAGTCAATGAGTAAAGCTGGAAATACCAGCATGCAACAGGTTTTTTTAAAGCTGCTTATCAGGAATTGGATAAGAGCAAAGAGAAAAATCTCATGAAAGGAGGAAACAAACAGCCACCTCAGGGTTTAATCCACAAGAGGCTTGCAGGCACTCCCTGATTCTGCTCTGCCTAGTCCTAATGATACTGAAACTCTGTATTACACAGCAGAGAATTTATAGCCCTTCTCTGTTTTGCCTAATTGGTAAACATAACTACCTTTTTGTCACACCACCTAAGAAATCCAATGGCCGTTTCTTTGTTTCAAAGACTTTAGAGAGCATTATTTCTTTCCTGCATTTCCAAGAACTAATGCTACATACCTGGGGAGGTATCCAAAGGGGAAACAGACTTTGAAAAATTTTCACAGTCCACCAAATGGCTGGTAGAAACATGAATTAATAAGGTTTCATGTATTTAAGATTAAGCTTCTAGCATTTTTCATTACCATGATCTTTCAAAATGTAAATTCTGAGACAGAAAAACAGTCAACCAAACTCCCTAGCTGTGCTATTAACAGACACCCACTTCTGATAACCACAGTTCCTAACTCAATTACCAACTCCTGCTAGCAAATTTCTTCTATTTATTCACACTTTCTGCAACCTGTGGAATGCTCCCACTTCCTCCAGACTTCAAGTCATCATTAATTCAGGGACAAAATGGAATTATACCCTTAATCTTCATCAGGATCTATTCTCAACACACTTCACAGCCCACAGGCAGAGAAAATGTATGCATTTAATCTTTCACCTTAACTCCCAAAGGTGCCACCCACTGTACACATTATGAACAAACCCCATTTCCACAAATATTCTCCACTACCCTACATGACTGTGCACAGACTCTCCTATGAGAGTTCCCAGCATAACACAAAAATAGTCCTATTTCAAAGCATTTATCTCAGTAACAGCATAAAAAGGCAACTCAACTGCGTGTCCACCCCCAGCACAGGGAAAAAAAGCCTGATACAACATAACTTGGACTACAGCAACAGATTCAGAGGCATTGCTGCATAATCTGTGAGAAATACGTTCCACCTCC